TATAATTGTATCGTTAATCATGAATATATATATATATATATATATTAAGAACAAAAGTAATAAAATAATATACTTACCGTTCCCAAAAGAATGCGATTGGTGCCAAAAATATGGTAGAAATAGCGAGCCGGTATGTTGCGATAACCATATGGTTAACACCACCATCGAGTACCTTTTTAACCAGAGCATTACCTAAACCGAGCGCCGAATTAATAGTAACCATCATAATTACTGGCGTCCATTTACCATCGCAGTAACCCATTCTTACTTATGTCTTCTTATATTCAGTAACTCTCTCACTCTTTCTTTCTTTTTCCCTCTTACCTCTCTCTTGCTCTCTAAGCGGTTTTGAGCATGAATGATTGATTGAAGGAAGAACCCGGCATATATAGAGATTTTGTTCAATGTTTTAGAAAAAGTTAAGATTCTGTAAAAAAATAATTCTTCTGTTTCCTTATCCACCAAAAACAAACTTTATTTCTCTTTAGTTTGCAAAACATTTTTCCTTGAATTAGACAGATGATATGACGTATGTAGGCGATGTTTTTTTTTATATTAAATCTTACGAATATTAATCTCTTATTGTAACCATGCATGATCACCAGTTCATATGCTTCATGTCGTCCGTTAATTTTTTTTCCTAAAATTAAACTATTCTTTCTTTTCTTGGGCAGCACTAAATTGAAACTATTCTCCATTCTACTTCTATACAAACAAACTGTATAATGGTATTTTCTAGCTTTGATGTCCTTTAGTTCACTTATTCTCATGTTGTCTATATATAGTTCCTAGAATATAATTAAGTTAGAAATTAATTTAGCAAAGCTTACTTTCTAGCAATAAGAAACAGACAAATTTGACTTGGATTTCATACAACTTAATAACATTGATTTCACATAATTTTCATTTATTTTGGGAAATCTCTCAGGAACTCTTTAGAGAACATTAAATGGCTTTTGCCTTTTTTTTAGTACTTTGAACTTCCGCTGGAACTGGAATATGCAAAGATTATAACGTGTGTTTAATAACAAAATTTAGGTCTTAACTAGCCATATAATCTTGTTCTGTTTTTTTTTTTGGTTAATAGTAGATAACTCAAATGTAATGAGTAAGAAAAACAAAAATTTCGGATGTTAAGACAGAATATCAAGATTATGTGCATATTTATGAAAATAACATGTTATTTATTTAATGTTCTTCGGCCATACCAGACTTTTTTTTTTGGCAAAACTACGTACATACATAAAAAGAACTGCATGCATGTAAATTTTTCTTACGTGTGTATGATTACAATTTACAAATGATCTTGTGCCAATCGGCCGACTTAAACGTTGCTGGGGCAGATTTTAGTTTTATTTTCTCACAATTAGTTTTGATTTTTTTTCATTAACCAAACATATTTAACTGGTTGAACAATACAGTTGAGCTTGACCAAAGAAAACGAATAATAACATCACAGTTGGTTGATAAAGCTCAAGTTTGCGATCTTTTTTGAAAACTTTTATTTTAGCTCATTTAATTCGTGTATTTTTTTCCAAAAGAAAATCTTTATGTTTTCTTTACTAAAGAAATATATTGGCTTTTTCGTTCTTTTAGAAAAGCAAAGGAAAGATAAAGTGAGAAAAAGCTTTTATTTCTTTCAGTTATAATTAAAGTCTGCCAATTTATTGTTTCCAGAAAATAATGGACTTCTCTTTTATCAGAAGATGATGGGATTATGTAACCACGAAAGGAGAACACAATTTGCACATAAATATAAAAGACAGTATCGGCAATCAATTACATTTTTTTTAAAAAAAAACTTTTTTTTGTTCATATAAAAAAAGGGATTGCATGCATTTGATATAAACGAAGTTGACAAATCTAAAAGACTAGTGAGATGCGGAACCGATTTAGAAATAAAACGTGAACTAAAGGAATACATGATTTTATTTTTTTTGATAAAAGAATATATACATGATTAATGAGGTATCAGTAGTTGATTTTTCACAAAGACTTAAAGAATAGTTAGTTAGATAACTTTAAGATAACAATACAAGATAGAAATACATTACTTTCACCAGATCTATCAAAAATATATGATCTAAGTATAGCGATTAATATTTTCCTTTAATTATGAACATCTTTTTCTTGCCACAATCTTTGTTCTATACTCCTTACAGCGGAAACAACCTTTTCCAAATGAAACATGTTTGAGCAACCTAAACTGAATACATTGGCTGCTGCTGCATCATCTTTCCTCTATGCTTGTTAATCTTTTCTCTCATTTGGTTTCCATTTTTTTCTTCTCAATTTCATCTCTTGTTTTATATTAGATTTCTAAAATTCCTAACCGACTGTGAGAAAAGTGTTTTTTTGTTGAATTGATTTTACATTGGTTTTTGCTTTTTGCTTTTGGTTCATTTTGGTTGTAAACCCGGTTTATCTCTGGTTTAATATATAATATATAATTAAAAAAAAAATTGTTACAACGACCGATATAATAAAAATTTCTACAGAAAAGCACATACCACATTATAACTCAAATTCAAACTTAAAAAATTAAAACTAATACATGATTAGTAACATTTTTATTTATACCCATAACTCAAATTAATGCAAGCTTTTTCTTTTTATATTGATTTTGAAAATTTGTTACAATGACATATATAATAGCTTCTACACAAAAGCACATATAAATTACTTTAACAAATACATAAAATACTCCAACCGCTCAGTGTGGTACATGCTAGAATTTGTCCTACATCCAGATTTTAAGAGATTTGTAGATAATATATAAGTGTGTGGTAATTCTTCACTTATGAGCTAGCTTTTGGATGTGAGTTAGATTCATTATTAATATGGTATCAGAGTCTAAGGTTCTAATTTCTGGATTGTGGGTTACATTCGTGGATGTTTAATCCCACAAACTTCACGCTTCAGATGTTTTAGTCCTGAACGTTTAGGGGATGTGTTAGAATTTGTCCCACATCCAAACGTTTAGGGGATGTGTTAAAAGATTTATAGATAATATATAAATGTGTAATAATCATTCCATTTATGAACTAGCTTTTGGGTATGAGTTAGACTAATTATTAATAGCTGCAACTCAGACATCTAGGGTGTGACCTTCCTCTTTGTAAGGATTATGTGGTAGTTGGGCCGACCCGTTGTGGTCCACGACAAAAAAAAAAGAAAAGAATACTCCAACAAAGGAAGCATTACCAATCGAAAATATTATTAGACCAGATCTCATATGTCATATACCGCTGCTGGATGATTAGCTTGAAACTGATAATAAGCTTTGTGTTTGTGGAGGAAACGTTAGACCAGTCAACAATATCAATCAGATCATGCTAGAGAGACACATTAGAAGTATAGAGAAATTCCAAATTTGTGCAAATAACACCAAAAGACAAAGTGACTAGTGCTCTCATCCCCATTGTTACAAAAAGGATACAAGTAGAAGGAACTTGTAATATTGTTCAAATGATCTTGAGTTGGTAACATGCGATGTAAACACCCAAAAGATAAAAGAATGGTTGGGAATACTTTTGTTTGAACCAGACCAAAGGGAAGCTACTAATAGAAAGAGTATGCGGGTTAAAACCACACCATGTACTACCAAAAAAGAAAGTATCTGGAGAGTCCAACCGATTTAATCGCCAAAGAATTTTATCTCTCTGATCTGGTTACAACACATGAGGTAGTTTAGGAAGACAAAATCTAACAAAATCAATGACTGCTTGTCTTCCCCTTGGCAGCTTCCAAGAACCTGTGGACATCGTCTGAAAAACTGATCTTAAGTATGGAATTCATGTGATTTGAGGTCCCAATGGTCTAATTATCAGTAAAATGTGCTAATTATCATATGCTAGAAGAACGCTGAAATACCACGAATATATAACTTGAGAAAAACTAGATACGGCCTTACTTGTTTGGAAGCAAGAAAACTCTAGACGTTATAGTGCTTATGATCAACTTTTGGTTTAGTTGCAACCTTCCTGCATTATCGAGTAAAAATATTTTGCTCTTGAAATTTTGTAAAAATTGTCGGTTGGCTTTACAAATTAATACACAATATTTTCTAGTATTTTATATCCATTTACACTAAATTATACAACACTTAAATTTCTCTACTTCAGTAGAATCATCTGAGGTTGTGTGACAAAAACATATTTTTTTCCGATAACAAAAACATAAACAAACTTTAGTTATATAAGTAATCGAAACAAAATCCAACAACTTACATGCGTATTATCATGATCATCCAAATCGTTCTTCGCCTCACCTTTAACTTCCACAGAGAAAAAGAAACTAGTATTTTGTAATGTGACCTCAGTTTTAGAATCATTTGTGACCTCAATACAAAATTAATTTAACTACATGAAATCACCAAAAAAAAAAAATTACTTGGACGTTGGGCTTTCGCTACTTTAAGACCCAACATTAGTGTAGTAGCCCATGACTTAATTTAAGAAAAGATATCCAATAAACAAATTACAATCTCATTTTTGGATATAAGAAACTATTGGAATCTGAGTATGCGTGCATCAGCTTATCTAAAAGCAGTGGCAACTGACTCATAGCGTGAGGCCGATGCTGAGATTTAGATTTAATATTAAAGTTCATATTTATTTTTTCTTTCTTTTCAAAAGTTAAACACATTGTATCGAATCATAGATATGTGATCGAATCGATTAGAAATGGGTTAATAGGCGACGATTTGACATATTTACTATTCTTAGAAATACCAAAAGATATACTTCAATTTCACTTACGAACAAAAAAAAGGAACTTGCAAATCTTAGTGTTGTGTTTATTGAATGAACTAATATTCCATGACGGAACACCGATCCAAGTGGTTACAAGTTACAACTTACAAGTTATTAATTATATCTAATTTCTTGGAATCTCTATGGAATGAATCAAACTATCTCACTCCGAATAACTTGACAATAGAGAAAGAAATATTTTTATAAGAAAGAACTGATGACTGACAGTTATCGCGATTCTGACAGAAAATATATATCTCCATATATACTATTATGATCGTGATGAGCTCTATTGTACACTATAATATATCAAACGGGCGATTTAGTATTGTTATCATTTATATTAATACTGTCTTCGTTTCCAATCATTTGACAAGACTTGGAAGTGGTCAGAGTTTTCGAAATAGACTGATCTGTCTCACTCTTCCTCCCCCAAAGAAACACGTAAAGACCCGTTACAGTCACTCCTGATCCAAGTATGCTGCATTTTGTGTATCATAAATAAATAGAAATGTAGATATATCAGTTTATATGCATGGACCGACCTTTATATGATAAACGTATGTATATACCATATGATATAACACTAATATGAGTTGAGGATTAAAACCTGCCGAGGTATAAAGGAGAGTGTAAGATGAGGAAATCGAATAACGTAGCAGAGACGAGACTGATGGGGCTGAATGTTGACACGAAGACTGCTCCCGTCATTTTTATTGACCATGACGTCACTACTGTCGACATCGCTTGTCCCACAATTCCCTTTTTTGTTTCCATCAATACATCAAATCATATATCATATAAAACCAAAAGAAATCATATATCATAGAAATCCAATATTTTATCGAAATTTTACAAGCTACCCTATAGTTTCTAACTCTCTAGGTGTTGCCCTTTTTATGTGTTGTATACCTAATGAAAATAGAAATAAAAACTTACAGCGTAAATGATGACAAAGATGACGAATTTGTCTTCGATGACCCAATCTTCGACTTCTCTACTCTTATAAAGACTCAAAATGGCACATTGAAATGCTGCGAAGACTGACATTAGACAAGTACTTGAGTACTTACTGCATGGATACTTAATGCTTAATTTCCCTTGAAACAACATCCATAGAGATAATAACACTGTCCCAATGATCAAGTAAAGACAGCCTAGAAGCCATTTATTTGTAAGGTCGTGACCATTGTTATGTAGTGTGCTGTTGTGAAGAGCCTCTGGATGAGTGTGAGGGTTTGATACTTGTGGACCTTTGAAAAATGTTAAGAACATTGCCCCAAGTATGCAAATTAGGGTTCCTATTAACTTGAGCACACCTGCTTTGCTCTTAATTAGGTTTTGCGCCTTCTCTATTCTGCAATTTTTTCTTTTATATTAAATATACGAGAAACTTTTTGTTGTAATTTTGATAGTTTTAAACAATAATTAAAAGAAGTTGCATTACCTAAAAATAAGGGCCAACGTAAAGGTAATAGCGGGTAACATGCTATTTAGAGCCATCGAAACAGTTGCTGACGTGTACGATAGTCCAAGCAAAAAGAAAAATTGCATCAAACTTGCCCTGCATTATTTATTTCAAAATAATGATAAATTAAAAAAATAAATAAAGTAGAGCTTTGTAGACTTGTATTAGTAGATAGATATCGTGTTAGAAAACTCTTTTATCTTTTATTTTTCTTTAAAGTAAATAAAAAATCATTAAAAATAGAGGAATTATATATAGCGCAATAACAAGAACAAGTGAAAAGGACAAACCCAAGTAATCCGCTGACGAAATGTTCGCACAAGAGCATTAACGTTAGCTTTGGTCTTGTTTTCCTATAACAAACTCATACAAAACCCAAACTTCATTACTTATTCACACTTTCACAGCAAAATAAAAACTTATAAATTGTTTAAACAGTCATATACATATATACATACATATTTCATATGAGTGGATACACATCGCTATTACAACTTAATTCATTATGTTTCGATTACGAAACAAAAAGGATATCAATATTATAAACTTAGTACTTTTTCATCACGTCTCAGTGAAAAAAAAAATGTATGGTTTTAAATCTATGCTTAGTCTGGATTTCAACAGGTATATACAGATATACATGAAAAGAGCATCTATTCAATTGGTGTAAGACTAACGATATATTTTAAAATTTATGGGCAGTTTGAATATCGACGCATGAAAACCAAATTATATATGAAAGAAATCAAGAATCTAGGATACTTTTGTTTGTTTTTGCAAGAATTTTCTAAGAATCTAGGATTAAATTGGATTTTAACATATGATGATCAAATTGTACATAGAAAGAACAAGCGTTTTGTTATTAGCATAACGAAGTACTTCAAATTTATGGTTAGTTTAGGTTTCGACTTCTGAAAATCAAATCATACGACGCATATTTCTTACGAGAACAGAACAAAATAGATTTACTTAAAACAATACCTAATAAATCAACGACGAGTTCGACACATAAGTGTCAAAATGTTCATACCTCTCCCAAATATAAGAAAACGGAACCAATATCAAAGCAGAAATAGCCATTCTATAGGCAGCAAAGATCATATGATTAACACCAACATCAAGTGCTTTCTTAACGAGAGCATTCACTGATCCCATTGCTATACTTGATATTAACATAACTATCACTGGTGCCCATTGTTCTTCCTTCATCTTTTCTCTCTCTCTCTCTCTCTTGATTTTTTATTATTTTCTTGTAGATTTATAGTTTCTGTAAAATCGAATGATTTTCTTTGCGTTTAGCAACCACACGCCTTCCCATCTACTTATATTTATAATAAAGTTTGTGGGTGGTTGCCACAGTGGATATATATATCCTTTTCTTGTTAATCTTCATATATTTACTTTATAACTCTTTTTATATGAATAATTTATAACTCTTTATAGTGTTTATAGAATGATATGTTTGATTGTTAAATTTGTCTAAGATTGATGGTGGACGACCATTATCGAAGACTTCTTCAAGTCAAATGTGGATTCACACTCAATGTGCATGCATGCAGTTTAAATAAGACAACAAAAAAACTGACTGAGTACTATTTTCATGAGAATCAGAAACACAAAAGTTAAAAATTTATTTATTTATTTTAGTCCGAGTCAACATCGCAAAATATCCAAGGAAAAAAAGTATATTATTATCTATGAACATGGTCATGTGAGAACAATTTTGTTAATTTTAGCTTAGCAAATTGTTCCATGTCAAATTCAATTTTTTTTGAAAACATATTTTACATTTTTAATCCATTATATGATTCTTTTTGTTTACTTTAAGTTATTATATATATGTTTTTATCATTGATTTTTTTGTTTACTTTAAGTTATTACATATAAAACATTTTTAATAAATTAAAACTAAACAAAAAATCAATAATGAAAAAAAACACAACATTTTTTTAACAACAAAACACACAAACTCATTAGTGCATTAATTTTGTAGACACTTAATGCACTCGAGACACTAATTAATTTGCGGGGAGTTAAACTCTTAAATATCCTCAAATAAACGATTATTTGATGAAAAATCAAATCTCCGCATTATACGTAATGCGAGACACGCACTTTGCTGCTCACAATTTGTTCGTGTCATCTACTTTATATTTTGTTCTTACCTAAGACCGTTTTCTTTCATTATTTGTTTAGGTTGTTTTTCATCGGTTAATCAAACACATATTTTGGACTTTTAGTGTTACAGAATTATAATAAAATAAGTAACCGTAAAACAACATTTTCTTTTTGGGTTGAAGATCTAAATCAAAACAATGTGGATGGCAGAACTGATTTTTAATATAATAACTAAAATTGTCGACTGTAAAAAATTAGCAGACTCCTTTTTTTTATTTTTTTTATATAGCAATTCTTAGATTCACTCCTTATTCACTTTATCTTATTTTAACTAATAAAAGTGTACCATGTATTACTTAAAAATAAAACTAGCCGAAGAAAATAAAATAAACTAAAAAAAATCATTAAGCTTCATATTACGTATTACGTGTCAAGCTTCATTTTACATGGAAAGAGACATAAAAAGTGTGATTAAAAGATATAAAAAGGTTATAAGTTCTACTACGGCAAGTTTTATTTTTCTATCAAACATACTTTTCATTCTCGCTTTATTCAATGACTTAATTGATATGGATATATCTACATCGATCACCAATCTATGATTAAACAAAACTTACAAAAATAAAAACATGAACTACAAATTATTTATTAATAACAATATGCATATATATATATATATATATTATATTGCTTCCACCTCAGTTACCTAGATATTACATCAATAATGTTCACACTTTCACACTTTATTTTGAAAATTTTGTTTCACGATACTTTGGTACATAAACAGATAAACTCTCCTTTTATTGATTAATAGAATTTAATATATATTATAAATTAGATATCTCATTTTTTTAAATTAAGAATATTTTATTAACATTTTCTGTACTATTGAAACATAAAAACTTTAACAACCTATTTTGAAGAACTCTATTTTTTAATAAACAGACAAAACTGTTTCTAAAGTACAATTCTTTCTTTTCTCCAAACAATAACGATTCAACTTAAGAATTACAAATTCAACATATTTGAATCAATGATACTTAGATTAGTTTTATTTTATATTTTGTATATTACAAAAATTTAATCCACAACAAAATGTATACCGTACAAACGCTTAGCTTAGAATCTAATAATATATTAAAAGAAGATATACTCCAGTTTTTCCCTGATATATTATATGAAGATTAAACATTTTTAAAGCGGTTATGTTTAACATATAGAAACCTCAATAAAACAAAGCACATCAATCAGTCTATGTATTTTTCGATCAGCTCGATGATAACAAATTTTTATAAATGACATTGGAGAGGATGTAACAGACAAAGTTAATCCTGAATAGATACAATTTAATTTGTAACACACAAATCATTGGAAGGTTCAATCTATAACATGTTAATAAAATACTTTTAACAAAAAAAAATAATGCTATAAAATTAATAAAAATATGGAATTGGCGATCACAAAGTTGAATTGTTTTAAATGGTGAAGTCCATATAAATTATGTTTGTTCATTGTGTCTATTCAATAATGGAAAAAAGTGTAATGAACGGTGAAAATAGATATTGATTAATCTAATCTAATGACACCTACCAACTAATACTTTCATCCACCATATATAGGTTTAACCCTATTAAGTTTATTGTAATGGGATTATGTGCAAAGATATTAAAAGAAATAATGTAATGAGAGTGATATGAACAGTGAACTGCTATTCAGAGGTGAGAACTTGATTAATTTAATCTAGCTAGTGACACCTACCTAATAATGCTTTCATCCCTGATTCCCACCATATATAGGTTAAAAATCTTGTAATTTTTCTTGTAATAAATCATTTCCTTGTAATCAGAGTTAATTTATGAAAAAAAAATATATAGTCTAATGAGAGTGATATGTGAAAATAGATACTACTTGATAACTCTAATCTAGTTATACCTACCAGGTAATGCTTCATCCCACCATAGATATTATATATAGGTTAAACTCTCGTGACTTTTAGTAATAAGATAAGCCCAACGATGTTGAAAAAAAAAATGTTGCAATGAGCGTGACGAATCACGACAACATACAACGAGTCAGTGACCAATAAATAAAAAGTAATTAAGGTAAAGTAGAAATTAGATTAAGTAGAAACAGAGCAGTGGTTCGTTGACATGTACATCACTATATAGTACAATGGTCGAACTGGACCATTACGGATCTAATCGGTCGGCCATGCGGCATGCTGTCGAATCTAAAACCGGTACTTTATCTACGACAATAATCATTATTATTGTGACTATACATATGCGAATATAGTAAATTAAATGAAGGAAAAAAAAGCGACTGATAACAATATTTACCATGTGTGGGAAGTAGCCGCCAAGTTCTCTTCTGTTGTGGTTAGGCATCCTTGCAGTCTCCGATATATAGAAAAATATTTGATTAACAGATTAGATATGTTGCACACACACACCAAAAAAAAAAGATTAAAAGATTAGATATAGTAAACAATCGTTGACAAATACAACCACTAGTAATATGTTATACATATACAAAAAATTCGTTGGTAAAAATGAAACTAATAGCGAAATGAAAATCACATACGTAAATATGGAGTTTTCTTAGATTTTATTTCGGATACATAACTCAGATTAATTAACTCTTTAACCTGATGTGTTTTCACTTTGGATTTTGATTTTTCTTTTTATATTCCGTTTTAAAAATGCCAAGATATTAAAATCTTAAAGTTTGCTCTTTTTATTTTTGATATTTCCGCCTCTGTCGTGCTTTCATCACTGTTTCGTTGGAGTGAAAATCGTTATTTCGTCGATGTTTTCCAGGAATAATGGCACAAATGTTGTTTGTTTGTTCATTAATTGCTTCCACGTTAGTTTCACATTCAGTTTTTGACTCCGGTTATTTCACATTCGATGGTATTTTTTTGAAGGACTAAAAACCAACCCAATAGTTATCTATGAGGCCAATTAAAGAGCAGTGGGCTACTCTCTGTCTGGGTTTATTATTTTATGGCCGCTTGATGGCTTATATTATCTAATCAGCCCAACTTGTTTTACCATTGCCATTACATTCATAAATTATATAATCACTTTATTTTACCACAGAGCTAAAACAGAGTACGTATCGTTGAGGTTGAGGTATCCTCTAACAGGCAACAGCAGACTTCTCCATCATTTCCAAAAAATGAAAAATCATTATGTCAATCTTCATTTAAAAGAACAATTAATGTACTCTCTGTCCCATATGTTTATGTTAATTTTCGACCGCTTTCGTTTCAAGATTCATTGTTCATGCCTCGTACCAACTAAAAACTTAACCACAAAGAGATCATATGTTTTCGTCTTATCGATAAGACCATTGTTTACATTATAATGCATTAGTAATTCTTCTTTTACCATAAAAGTACAATATTAACTTGTTAAAACTTAAAAGTAATGGATTTTCATAACGCAAAGAAATTTAAACCTTAAATGAAATAGTTAATCTAAATTGAATAATATAAAGTATGAAAACAATAAATAATGTATAACTATAAAAACAGAAAACTCAAATGAAAAGTCAAAAATATGGGAAATAACAAATTCAAATTGAAAACATAAGTATGAAAATTATAAAGAACATTTAATTTCTGTAAACAGTTAAATCCTAAACTCTTTTAGCCACCGTCTTAAATCCGTTGATGTTCATTAGCCTTAGTATTTTTGTACCAAATTTTTAAAACTTTGACAAGGCTATATAAAATTTAATGCGTTTGATAAATTTTGATGTGTTCACCATATAAAAATACTTTTCATCTGCTTTATTTGAATTGTTTATCTTGAACTGTTTTGTTTTGTCAAGAATCTCATTTCTGATGAAGAAAATGAACAATGTTTTTACATGATGAACATATCAAATTCTATATAAATTATAAACAAATGGTTTGAGAAAAGGATGTGTTCAAAAACTTGGGAGAGGATGTGCGGGAAAAAATGCTACCAAAAAAGGTCAAATAGTGAAATACTTAGAGCAAATAGTTGTTTTCTTAACACCTTTTCTAATAGCGTGATATCTGTCTATATATCAAGTGGAAAAATGGGTTATAACCCCAAATTTTTTCTAAATTTATTCGTATTATTGTATTATGCTACAATAATGTGTATTTTTGATGTAAAATTATGAGACATG